TATTAAGTTCATCACGTAAGCAAAGTCTTCAGAGTTCTCCTGACAAGGTTTCATCTTCTGTATCATAAGTTCTATCAAAGGATTCAGACCTGAAACTTTTTTTTTTCTTCATAGCCTCTCAGTGAAGATGAGAAACAGTTCAAACAGCATATTGATAGGTATAAAAAGAATGATTCTTTATCAAACAGCCATCATCAGATTGCTCTTAAAGATCTACATTTCAGACTCCAAGACTCAACAACCAACTATCTGCAATAACCAGGTATTCACAGCTCCCCCAAAACTCCCTTGCCATATTTTGTATAATTTACAAACGTAAGACTAAAGAACAGAAATATGAATGATTGATTTAATCACACTGAAATATTATAATTATTTGAGAAGATAAGTGATATAAAGACGATGTCAGGTCAATCTAGGAGAGTCAAGCAGTCAACAAGAACATGGAAGGAATGTTTGTCTATAATTTAGATTCTTTGTCTGGTTGCTGGCTATTATTCTTTATTACAGAAGGCGATTAATATCTTTGCTCAAAGAAACTTTATTGCACATGTGACATGTTAATGTCTCTACTCTCTTACTTGAGAGACTGAGGCTATATCTATGTAGCTGTATCTAAAAGACAGACAACTGACTACATACAATATATCTGGAAGGAGAATTAATTCCTTCCATGTGAGCCTAATTTATAGATTTTCAGATAGTGAGCTTTTCCACACAATCAATTATGTCAAATGCTTCCTGTCCTATTGACACACCCACTGCTTCATTTTATGCTAATCACCTTGCTATTGCTCCAAGCAGCACGCATACTTTTTCTCAATGAGATACTCTGCCATATAAAATCCCAATGACCACTGACACCTTAGGATATTAATACCGGTTTTGGAGGGAGAAAAAAAAAGATCAGTATAGGACTTTAGTTTAAAAAAAAAAAATCCAAACAACAAAAAAACAAACCCACAAAACATGAAACCAATAAAACAGATATAATAAATGGTTGTTCTTTTGATATACGTCTCTCTCACAATTTTGGCTCCTCTGTTCTACAGTCTCTCCTGCATATCAGATTGCTGCTGTCCTAGAAGAGGATTTTTAAAAGAACTCAGGACATGAAAGGGAAAATACTGCCTTATTTTGGTGACTAGATTCGCTTCCCCTCCTCCACAAAAAAATACAGGTCTTTTTGTAGGTAAGTGGGAAACAGTGACCTACAAGCCTGAAATGTAATCTTAGCAAATAACATTACCAAACAGTATCCCTGAGGACAGTTTACAGGATGAGTGAACCTAGAACAAGCTAAAATAGTAGCAAATACAATGAAGGAAAGGTAAAATTGAGCAAAAATAATATAAAAACCCATTCCATAGACTGCTTAAATTGAATTTTCAAACATCATCTACATTTCATTAAGCAGTCAACATCAGGTGAGATTTAATTAATTGAAAATGTTATAATCAATGTTAATACTGACACACTCTAATAAGGTGTTTTTTTTCCTCTTGCTGCAAAATGACATGATTTCTACAACACTACTCTTGAGTATATTGTATTGGATAACTGTTTCAAATTTATTCCCTGGCCCTTGATAACTTGCTCCCTTGGTGACTTAGTAGGCTCGGGAGTTAATCGGTCACTTCTACCTATGCCGACACCAATGAGTGGAGACACTTAAATGAAGTGTGTGAGTCCAATCCTTCTCCAATTCAAGAAAAAACCCACACAGATCAATACTTTCCAGAAGACAATCTGATCTGCCCAAGGAAACCATTGCCTCTGAAGAAGCATTTTTCATTCTCCAGTTGTGGAATGAACTTGTTTGCCCTACATTATTTTCAGCATCTTAAATCACCCTTAAGAAGTTCGCTAGATTACTACAAAACATTTTTTTAAGGACTGGTTTATTTTCACTGCGTGGATTTAAGTTATAATGATAATTTCCTATTACTCTTTTATTCAAATCATTAATTGTAGTCCATAGAGGAGCAGCATGCACTTCGTAAGTCAGACCATAAATCATAGATGTGACAAGAACAACTTCTCAGTCTGCTTTAGCTTGATTTATATAATGATATGTACAGATGAGTCCTGTAACTACTTACCAAATTTCAAGAGAATCTACAAGATGTACATACAAAATGCACATTGGATTTTTAGGATTAAGTCAGCAATATTTCCTATCAAGTTTGCACTGAAATTTCATCAGAGTTCAGAAATAGAATTTGGAAAAAAGGTGAATGAAAAAAAGAGATAAGATGACATATGTACACACAGATTTATGTACTAATTTTTTAGAAAAATGTTACCAAGATGTTATGTTATTGCACAATTCAACAGAAGAATTTAATGGCTGTATTGATTCTGATGAACCTTCCAGCTGGTTCATAAATATTTCCATAAGCAAAAAACCATGGCAAAATATGAACAGAGCAAACAATCTGCACCCCCTCTTCCCTGCTGAGTACTCTCCCATCCTGTAAGTATTTTTAGCCCTAAGGATTTCCTCAGCCTGTTGTGGCTTGTCTATTCAGTAACTGTCTGCAGCCCAAGTATTTGCCCTCTCCTGACCACCCACAAGATTATTTTAACCATAGCATCCTTTGACAAGGAGTTTCACAAGTCTACCATTTTATGCATGAAGAATTACTTCACAAAGCATGAAGACCATGATTTTTCACTACCTATGTTTAGTAGCCCACATTCTTCTGCTGGAATTCCCTGCTCACAGTGATCCTAATCTTACTGATATCTACTACCACTCCCTTAAACTAGGAGCTTAAACAACCTTCTTTTTTCTAGGCTGCAAGGGGCAAGACTACTCACTTCCTTAATGAATACCATCCCATATCTTCCGTCACTGCTCTTGACCCTCATCAAACATTTTTCAGTTCAAGTTGCACTTTTTGAGATGACCAACATGATTTCTACTAGTATTGTTTGGCTACTACTTCCAATCTTTTCACCTGTGGTTTAAGAAACCACTGGATAAATCAATTTGCCAAGACACTAGTTCAGCTGCCATCTTTTACTGGTTATGGGTGTCCAAATTCCTATCTGTACAGACCTCCGAGTGCTAGGAGCAGCAATGAAAGAAAGGATTAAAAATGTTAAGAATTTACTTACAGGTGATCCTGGAGTTATTCTTGACACCACTAGTGGCATTTTCTGATCTACACCACCCTAGAAGAATATCAAGTAAAAAACAACCATAAATATATCATTAGGCATAAGCAGCATTTAAAACAAGCAATCACTTATTTTTATTTCTAGATAAGGTTTATGCTCTGTCATTATAAGCAGCATTGGGAAGATCCAATTTTCAACAGAATGTGTGTGGTGGGAGGGTGCAGTCTTTAAATCTACCGATTTCCAGTAAACTAAATCCATGGTCTTTGCTTGGTCATATAATTTAACAGGCAATAAATACATCAAATGCAGCATTTATTCTAACACTACCCTTCAAGCAAGCCTAATTTAGTGTTTGAACTTGCAGGCAGTGTTCTTAGATGTTGCAATGAGCCTGCAAGGGATCAGGTAGGATCAAAGTTCCAAATGACCGTACTCCCTTTTTGTCTGTTTTTTTGATATTATGGCTACTTTACACTATCTGCTTAAATGGAATTTCATTGAAGGAATGTAAAAAAAAATTACAACATTCAATTATCAATGGCAATTTCAATTTTGTTCATAAATGAACTTTCACCTTTCCAATACAATTTTTAATGGATATTTTCCATTGCATAGCATAAACTAATTTTTTTTTTTTCCCCAAAAGTTGATGTTTTAAATTTAGGATTCCACATTCATATATAAGAAACCAAACAGGCAGTCAGCTTTGGAAACCTATCATGACTATAGTATATCCAACTAAAAAAACGAGAACTATTAGGAGCTTATTTCCGTAAATGTTGCTCTAGCATTTAAGGATTAGGCTGCCACTTCTAAAAACTCTTGGCCCATAAGAAATTCATGTAGAATATACTGCTTTCTCCAAAGCATTACTTGAAAACTGAAAAATGATCACAAAGTCAAAGCATAGTATCTCTAAAAAGTGTTTTAAAATAACTCAAAGATTGCTGGTTTACCTTTAGATTAAACCCAAACTTCCCATCTTCATCTGGAATGATACGCACCAAAAGCAAATCTCCCTCAATTAGTTCATTCTGCAATATACAGTAAAAATAAACACACTTCTAATTTTTAAAAGAAAATACCAGCAAATTAGAAAACAGTGCATCCAAACTTAGATGCACTGAACAAGAATACATAAATCCACGTTCAAAAGAAGTAGTAGTTACGGTTACAGAATATACTCATTTTAACCTTTTAAATGGTAAAAATAGCAATATACGTAACAGCAAATACTTTTTCTCCTTGCTCTATCCTAACACTTGTTACTCCCACCGTAGCTTTCTCAGCTGATAACTCCTATTAAAATTTTCAGTGTGTTGTCTTTACTGAAGGTGACCTAAAAGGAGAAAGTTAGGTGCAACACATTTGAATCAATTCTACTCTATGGACTGTGAAGTTACCACTTTTTCACCAGTTTTTCTTCTCTAAATGAGTACATTGATATCTTCTGCAAGAGCAGAAGCCAGAAGGATTAAAAGTTGGCAGCAGCTACTGGACAGGCAGGCTAGGAAGCTGTTCAGCATCCCTCTTGAACAAGCTGGAGAAAGGGAAGGAATGATCCCACTAGCAGAGAGCAGTTGCTCTCTAGTCAGTGCAAAATTCAAAGGATGATGTTTACCCATCCTGAAGAAGAGATGCTTGGGATGAAGCAGTTGTGCCTGCTATCAAGACATACAACAACTTGAGTTCTATGATCCATCCCCTCAGAGGAAATAAGACTTAATCACTTAAGGATTCCCCTTCCACTAGGAACTTCCTCTGCAAATGCTTTTGGAAGCCTGGACATTATGGAAATCAACACAGTTGGCAGGCTTGCCCATTGTACCATGTACACAGTCTTGGATAAATTTGAGCAGTAAGACAAGATTTATTCTTATCACAAAATATGCTCATCTTAAAATACTACCACAATTTTTGTGTATTCTTAATCTATAGTTCAAAGTCATATTCAGTACTAGTTTTGCCTGTAAAAGTATGCAACTGAACATACCTTATCACAGTAGTACTGACTGGAATCTTCCGTTGAGCTACTTCTTGTAACGTTATCATATGTTTCTAAGAACTGTTTATCCACCCCTTCCAATGGGTAAGAGCCAGAAAAGTTACCAAGTCCATTGGGAGACTGAGCCAAGGTTTTAGGCGAGATACGGGTCAGAGGACTCCTTGTTGGACTGTTTCCCAAAACATTCCTTCATTTAAACAGGATAAATAAACATTACAAAAGGTATTGTTATCCAGATTTTAAAATAAAATAGTAAAACTTGCAGATGTACTGTCCAGTTAAAAGAGAAACCCAACTTCATACTTTGATTTAGCACCACTTCTTGAAGTGCAGGGTAACAGAATTGGAGTATGATCTAAGCCTATCTTTTGATCAGTGGACATTCAGAAGAAGGGATAAACCAAAACTGGAGTAGCAAAAAAATTTTTAGTAATATATTTGTATGTTAGCAGCGAGATGCACTGTTGCAGTGGTACAGGAAATCACAGCAACAGGAAAAGAGTTGAACCCCTGAGGAAAGGTGCTTCATTTGCTAATCCTACCCATTACAAATTTTTGCCGTGATTCCACTTGCATTCTTGCAAAGCACTTTTTTTTTTCCCATTCCTCCTTCTTATGAGCACCATCTCAACCTTAGCTCTCTAGGAGAAGGTGGTTTGTGGAAAACCCACAGTAAATTGTCAGAAATAGAAAATGAAGTGACAATGAAATGTTTAATTACAGTTAATACAGTCTGTTACTGAGGTAGTTACAACCATGTAGAAGGACACAGAATTAAACTGGGGTGCAGACCTGGCCTAGTGATTCAAGAACCTTAAAATTCAAGGCTAACCAAAGTCAGTAATACCTCAGCTCTTAGAATTGGCCGAGTTGCCTGGTGGTGCTCCAGGACCTTTCAGATGTTCATTTGGCTACATGCACTCTTATGAAAAGGATGAAATGTAGACCTCTAGTACAACTAAAACCCTTCTCTAATAGGACTAAACTCACGGATACCACACAAACTAACTGATCTGTATAAACATTACATAATGCTTTGTGGAAATTTCTGATCTAGGGAAAGCTCAGGTATAGATCAGATAGTTTCCTATCACTAACATACAGGACCGTGTGTGGCCAAATCAGAGTCCTAGCCACTTGTATCACACCACTGCACAGACCTTTTCCCTACGTGACAGATCATCAGGCTCAGTGGCAGTGCATTTTGCAAGAACACTCTGCACCTCTACAGACAACCCAGCTCTGTAATGAAGGACATCTGATCCTTGGAATTACACACTGTTAACTGTTTATTACAGTTTATCTCCAAAAGCAACATCAAATTCTCACAAGGTTAAAGTGGCAGGAATATATGCAAGTGAACCCTGGCATTAAAATTGATCAAACATTTATTTCTGCTCTTGTACTAGTCAAACTATATATATATATATATACATGAACCATTTCCAGCAGCCACTGCAGCCACTGCTAGCTGTCAATGGAGCAGTAGTACTACACTATAGAGGAGCTTACAGAGTTAAAAGCTTAGGCTTTTAACATAGAGCACTTGCATTGCAGCAAACTTTAGTAATACAAACATTTCTTGGCTTGTGGAAATCTGACTGCAGCATTCTGAAAGGTGCCATCAAGCAAATGTATTCTTGCCATAATATTTTTAATATTCAGTTATAGTATGTGTATTTGGCAATGGGTATAAAGTGATTTGTGCAACATTTGCAGAATTTTCAGTTATTATGGAAAATATTTTTTCAGTGTTTTGGAGGTATTATTCACTTTGTGCTCTCGGTTTCAAAATACTTTGAAGCAGTGAACTATAATGATATTGAAAGGAATAATACTGGTGAAATTGCATTTGTTGGACAGCTTCCAGGACTTCAAGATTCCTGTGAAGTCAGTGTTATGCAAGGAGGAACACTGTACATGTAAATATATCCTAATAAGGTTTTCAGAATATATCAGTTAAAAAAAGAAAAAAAAGACCCAACAAAACCCAAACCATTTTGCTTACATGTCAAGATTATAGATTTTTCAGTGCAGAAAAAAAGAATTATGCCAGAAAAATATTACAAGTTATTTCAGTCAATGCCTTCTGGCACTATGAAGAGTTACTAGTTAAAATTACCAGTAGATTTTTGTATCATTAAATTTTTACAACAGCTCTTAACCAACTTTTTTGTTAGCAGAGATTAGAGGTGTATTAGGACTCAAGACTTTCTACAACCTGATCAAAAAAAACTTATTTTTTTTCCGCATACATTCACAAACTTAAAAATATAAACGTATAAACCAATTAAGCACACAACACCACCACTTCAAAGAAATCAGTTCAAGTTCTGTGTTTTATTATATAACTTAAAGCTAGAGATTCTATAGTAGAAACTTTAAAGAAAACTCACTTTGGTGATTCTTGTTCAGATGACCTGTTAAAAAAAAAAAAACCACAACCAACAGTAAATGAACGTATGTTAACTCTTCAGAAAGACAAGAACTAAACTCTAATTACAAAAAATAATGTCTACTTGAAAACTAAAAGGTGTGCTCACAATAAATTAAAGAATACTTAATCCTATGCTGAAAGTCTGAATCAGACAATCATGGCATTTATGAAATGCTGAACAAAAAACTGAGGACAGCTCTAATCACTCACTCACACATTTGGCACAAGCTCAACTACAGACAACACAGATCTGCTACTGCAACTTAAACTGTGTAAGAGTTTACAGAGGCAATTATTTAGCAAGACACTACATTATTTAAGAAAGTTTTAGATGTCTGTAGTCATTGTGATCCACATCAGTGACTATTTTGTAAAAAGTCAATTATGGCAGAATTTTTATGTTTAGGTATCAAGAAATAAGCATAGGCAGCTTTGGAAGCTTGAAGTTTTTTTACACATCCTCATAATGTGAGAGAAGAACAGATGTTGATAGAGAACTTTAAGACAAAACGTAACTGTAGCAGAAGCAGTTACAGAGATGAGAACAATCTAGCATGGAAGAGAAATCACAATTTGCAGTACACAGCATTTTTCAAGGCATTCAATTAGCTTCATCCAAAATCACCTGAAACAGTGAGCTAAACTATATCACACCAACTAAAACCATAGCTGTGATACTAAGATAAATTTGAAAGTAAAAGATACAAAAAAGGTGCTTGCAAAGTGAAGCAAGTTTAAGGCAAATGGAACAGCTTTTTGGATTTAAATAGTGCCCAAAACACCTGGAGTGATGTAAATCCATGCTGGAAAAAAAACCCATGAAGTAGAATGCTTTGAATACACAGGTATTGAATTGTCAAGTTATAGGAACCATATTGCTCTTTTCAATTACTGTTCTCTAAAACAAGCTCAACACTAAGAATTATGTACTATGTTTCATCAACAATACAGAAAATATAGCAGCAGTATCAATCTAGTTAAGTTTCCTTAAATGGGTTGCACAATATGAAGAAACTTTTCCTTGAGAGGCAGAGTTGGTGAAGCTCGATTCCCTAAGAATTTGTGGAGGTCTGGGTTGTGTATCCTTTTAACTATTTTTTAAGGTGTTACACTTCCTTTTTTACTGCAGTCATGTCCCCCTTCCAATTCCACTGACACCCACTCCCACTCTCCCACAAATACCTCTGGTTCTCCTTGTTTACAATCCCTAAGTTTTACCCCAAGTGCCAGCAGGGCACAAGCTGCCCAACTAGTCCATATCTAAATGGAAAACCATTGAACTCGTACTGTAATTGCTCTGTGAGAGGAGAATGTCAGTTTAAGGTGGTTTTTTTTTTTTTTTTTTTTTTACCTAGTCACTGACTTCCACTAATTTCATAGAAAACTCTGCATCTTTGAAAACTTGACTCCTGCATTAGGTTTGACTGCAATTGTCCAAATGTTCTTAAGTGGGAACAGAAGCAGATGGGCAGTGCAATGTCATAAGCCTTATTTCCTTAGGAAGTCATGCTAAAAATAATCATCAGATTTATTTTTGTTTAAGCTAATTGATTTCCCTGTGAGGCAAAGAACAATAAAGCTGTACATCTTTTCTATGTTTTGCCACAGGAGGGCTACAGCTCTATTATCAAATTCTGTGTAGAATTCAAGTTGCCATAAGTTAAGCCTTTCAAAAGCTTTCACCAAAACGTTACACAGAGAATTGTGATGTATATCGGGGCCAGGTCCCTATTTTAATATATTATCACTTCTCTTTCCTCCTAATAGAGGGAGGTAATTTGAGACAGTAAAAAGCAACTTGAGCTTCTATTCATATGCTGTGTATAAACATACGGCAAATTTTTCATCATCTCGATAATACATTTGGAGACCTAAATGTGAGATATAAATTCTCAGTAACATATGCTGAAAGTTTATTTGTTGAATTATTGCACTTTAATTCAAACATACCAACTCTGAAAGAGTTACTGAATCATTCCGTAACTTTAAGTGGAAAAAGGTAATAAAAATTTTTACCTAGAAAGTGGCCGAATTCAAGGCTTAAAACAATTTGTCAGGGGCAATGCAGCTGTGTCTTCTTAAGTCCTTAACAGCTCAGCATGCTAGAGCTGCAGAATTTTGCTCCACAACTCAGTTAAACAATATTTACAGCATTTAGTTATCCATGATAAAGTACCTTAAACATGAATAACTAGATTATCTTTTCTGAATATACAGTATTCCACATTTTACTAATTTATTTTCCTCATGTCAGAACATACGATAAGGACCATATTTAAAGTCAATAAAAGACAACACTCACCAGACCAGCCATTCAACTTTTTCATCAAGAAAGAGAGCCCTTCCTTGCAAGGAGATTAAGCTTTCCATCGATACAGCTAACAAGCACACAGTTTAAAGCTGCAGGTAATGTCTCTTCCTTACTCCACAATATACCTAAAATGGTGCCATTTCAATCTTTCACTCACTATAGACTGCTCTGTTTGTGATGATCTTAATAAAAACAAAACAAAAAACACCAAATCTCTTTACGCTGAAAAGTCTAACTCTCGTCTTCTGTCAGGACAGAAAGGAAAGGTCTTAAAGAAAGACCCCTCCTCCCCATTTTGGTGTGCCCTACCAGGGAATTCTGCTATTCTGAGAACTGAGGATGATGAACTACAGCCGAGTAAAACCCCAGAGAGAAAAGGGACAACTGAAACAATAGTACTGTAGCAAAACTCCCCCTTTACAAACAACTGAAGGAAACA